CTGATTCTAAGTCAGACATGATAGATTCGAGCGAATGAGGCACAAAAACTATAAAAATACAACTCTGTACTGACTTGCACGGATAAACACGAGTCCTCGCAGTGACGTCATCGTGGTTGTAAACTAGGTCCCAGACCCCGGACAGTTTTTGGTGCAAATGACTGATTTTCGAAGGCGAAAAAAATTTATTTAGTTACACTGAATTCCAAAAAAAATAGCATCACGATACTCGGATAATGTTGAATTTTGTTGTTTTAAAATATAACGGAGGTCGAACATTTGGTTTCATAAACACTTTAAGACAAGTAATCTTGATGACTTTTTACAAAGAAATATATGTGTATATGATGAAAACGACACTCCATGTACACAGTATACACGTTCACCGTACATTTCTTTGCTAAAATGTATACTTAAATGGAAATAATGGTTTTAAATTTTAACTTATAATTTCTTGTAGATGAAGCCAGAGCAGCAGTTACCCCAGAATGCCCACCAGCAGTTACCCCAGAATGCCCACCAGCAGTTGTGCAGCAGAATATAGTTTCAGTCTCTGTTCAAGGACTGTCTCCAGTTGCATTCCCAAATGTGACTGAATGGTTCTTGACAGTGTCACARTCGAACATCAATGGAAGATCAGGAAGCTTCGTTGTGTTTTCATAGCTCTATCCATGGGGAAGCTAGTAATGGAAACACACTTTGATTGGCCTTTGGGTAACAATCTTAGTAGTGCATCACTGGGTAAATTTGAGGAGGCAATGATCAAGGGAAATCAAATCCATGAAGATTTATTTGATTTCAATCCAGTGAATGTGGATGTTGAAACTGCAATTGTAATGGCAGGTGAGGAATGTGGTGTGCAAACTGTACTCTWCCAAAAGGACATATTTGGTCAAAACCCACAGTTACAACTGGATGAACTGTTCCACARAGAGGCTTTGAAGCTTGAGCTTGGATGTAGTGTAATTATTGCAGATGATCGTGCTTTCCTATTTACTGTACACCAGGATGGGTCTGCCATGATTTTAGACTCACATCAGCATGGCAGTCAAGGAGCAGTTATTGCACACACCAAATCTGGTCATGTCAAGTCACTGGCTTCATGGTGCGGTGCTATGATGCAAAGAGACTGGCAGTATGTGYTTGTGATTGCTTCAATGCACAAAATTGCATATAGCTAGCAGAAAGCAGTGCATTTCTCAGCATTGTACAGGCTTTCTTATAAATTGTATATGTACATGTAGAGTAATTCTGTGAAAAAGTAACTAATCTTATTGATGATAGAAGTCATTATACTTAAACCGTGAAACACTAATTACCTGTAATATGCAAATATGTAATATTGCGTAATAGTCAGTACTATTGTTTGATGGATGAAAGCTTTCTTGTTATCTTGATTATATCTTTTGAATTGAAAATTCAACTGAACAAAAGATAGTGCAATGTGTCACAATGTAGTTGTGTATAGAAACTCGCTATTTCACAGGTATTAAGCGTAATGACTCAAGTATTATCTTGTTTTGTCACTCTTTTACCTTGAGATTCTTACTGTAATTTAGTTCACAGGCCATTGAAAATCGACCTATTTTTTACATCTTCCCCACAGTCAAAAACGTTTGACAGGTGTAAATAGAGACAATTACATAGAGACAATCCTATTGGAATACATTTATTCACAATATTATTTATAAAATCTTCTAGTATAGACAATCGAACCTGGTCTTGACAGGAAAGTTGTATGCAAGGAATAGAGAACATAAGGAATAAAACGAATAATTCACTTGAGGCATGACATCCCACCTGTGAAATAGTAGACTACAAGTGAGCATCAGAACTTATTCTGATTTTTTCCCTTTCATTGACTTACTGCGTGGAAACATTCACTAGCAATTTCACAGGTTAAATGTAACACCTTTAATGCTTTTGCTCTTATGGAAATCATTTATTTATTTATTTATTTTTTTTACATTCCACAGTAAACTTTAGATAATATTATATATAGAATTGTTTAAAAAACAGGAAAATGCATTGGTTGGAACCTGTTCCCAGTTGATGTAAGTAAAAGCAGTGTTTCATGGTGGGTTGGAACAAAGCATTAGCTCAACCTGAAAACACTTTTTAGTCTGCGTATACTTATTTCAACTGTGGACTGACCCTTAAAAAGGAAAAGACAAAAAATGAAATGAAAATGCTGATTTATTGTTATTTAGTTAAAATTTCTAAAATACAAAAAAATCACTATTCATGAATCATATAAGCCAACACACAGCGGATTTGATTATAACGTAGGCCAGTGACGTCTCGACTGCCTCAGCGTCACCCCTTCTTTCGATGCCTCGGTGGCAACTGCCCTAAACTCCCTCTCATAAATCTCGAGATCGGTCATGAGTTTTTTTCTGTCGTCCAGGGTCCCATGTCCTTCAGTTATACAGTCTATGACATAGACTTCTGCTGTAGCTTCTGCTACAGCAAGTCTTGTGCCAATATTGCTAAATGCCATTCCAGTTCTCAAAAGAAAAGACGGTAGGCCTGGATCTTTTTGTGGCTTGTGGTTAATTTTTCATATAACCTTTTCAATGAGGAAATCTGAAATAAACAGAGTAAACGACGGGTCATTTTTTATGAGGAGAGGAGCTGTCGGTGTGTGGGTAAGGGAATGGGATAGTGTAGGCATTGAAATAATTGAGGGTCAAATTATAAAAATAAAAAATGAACTGTACGTAACGCCGGATGAGATACATTTGACAAAGGGGAGAGTTTATTACAGAAGCCTGAACAAGTTTGCATTGAGAAAGCAATATTATATATTTGAGTTATTTATCTGCATTGAATGTAGATAAGTAATAAGATCATGGTGCACGTTCTTGTAAGAAACTAGTTTCTTTATGTTCAACTAAATGTTCCACTTGCTTTTGTAATAATTCGCTTGGACAGAGATGTGATGATAAATCAGCTCACGTGTTGAGCTTAGTTGCGGCGAAATCATAAACTGTTTGGATGGTAAACGAGCAGAAAGACAGCCCAATCTCAAGACATTTCGTAATGGTCACCATTGAAAAAAAAGGGTTCATGTAAAAACTAATGCTTAGAGCAAACGTTTGGCCATGTGGTCGGCCTCTAGATCTTGAAAAGGGCTAGCACTTCGTTTGTTGCTGAAAGAAATTATATTTCACAGCTCAACCTAATTTTGCGTATCTTGCGCCGCTTACTTTAATTACGATTTAGAGAATGTTCACTTACCGACGACTGTCTTCCATAGTAGAAGTTTTGAAGAAATCGAAAGATAGGTAACCCCTCTAAACACAACATCAAGTATGGTTATATGAGCTGAGTGTTTTTCCGGTGAATATAAAGGACAAAGGCAAGAGGTGTTAGTTTGAGTGAAGTTGATATAGTATATTTGTAATTCCATCGTAGCGACTGCAACCTCATGGACCCGAACTCACATATTTGGCTTTTTTTTTTTTTTTTGACTATCTTGGCCATTCTGAATTGGTCATAGTAGCCGTTTCATGTTTTGCTTGGTGGTGCCTTGTATTTGGAACGAAATCTACCAGACATATTAGAAGAAAGCTGAAGAAAGGCGAAGAACTTGACATCCCCGGAGTTGAGTATAAAAGGATTCCTCTTCAAATCTTCAGTGGATATTTGAGTATAAATTTATCGAACACGGATATAACCAGTAAACACATGGTCCAAATTACTAAAAAATCAGGCTGTTTGCAGTACCTGGACGTTTCGAAGTGCCCAAAGCTCAGAGACGACTTCATATTTCATGCGCGAGAATTCTTGGGCGAACTAGCATGGATCGACATTTCAGACAATGAAAACATTTCAATCCTTGGCTTGGCGTGTTTGTGTTCGTACGGTGAAATAAAGCACATACAAGTATATGGCATGGAACTTACTCCAGATGAATGCTTATTTCTTAGCAAAACATTTGATAACATAGGAAGAGGAGATTGTGAAATTGAAACTGACGATGGCGAATATCMGCTCATGATTTATCGTACTTTCCAAAGGGAATGTACTTTGTGATTTATATAATATGAATTATAGAATATCATCATAACTTCCATATATTCGTATCTTAAGTTGTTTAAAAATGTTATATGCTTAAATCGCCAGGTTTTTCATTTGCGATTTTTCGCAACATTACAGTGTTCGTAATGTGAGACAGTAAACATCAACAGGGTTCWTGTTACTTATTGTTTGTGATCATTTTTAGGTAAAACGGCTTTTTCATATGGTTCCCCATTTCCCATGTTAACGAAATTTCACTTTAGGCAACAGTTTAATTTTCTACACTTGTTCTATTAATATCTTTCAGATCTCTGAGCCAATGAGAAGCACAGAATTAATCCAATTAAACATTATGTCAAACGGTCGTTTTTGCAAGAATGTAGCCGAATCTGCCTACTTCTTACACACATCATTACTTAACTATATATAAAGGGAATATTTCATCATCTAATTGCACTTGGTTCTACTCGTAAGAGACGCTCTGCTGGTTTCAACTCCGTCTTCATCCCAGATACCTGTAAAGTTTTCTTCACAGATTGTTGAAGCCATCCAGCGAGCAGTCGACTGTTCAATGGCCGGCAGAGCTTCTAGTAAGGCGAATAATAATATTGGGTTGCCGCCAACTCCCTTTGCCCAAAGGACCAGCCAATTATTGCAGACAGGAGGGGGGATTCTACTAAATCAGCCCGGAACTCTTGGAGGTAGGTCCTCAACGGTTGCCCCGTCTTTTTTGAACACTTTCTCTTTTCCTATCGCCTTGAGTACATCAACTTTAACTTCAACTACCAGTAGTCTCGGTGCAATGAGCTCAGTGACYATAGAGTGATTACTTTRATCCATGAAGTAATTAGAAGACTACTAACTACTTTAAGCCCAGTTCAGATGTACAACTTTTGCTAACTCAAATCTAATCAAATCTTTTGCCTTTGCAAAAGAACTGATGCCTTATATAGTAGTTATTGGAATTCTCTTGGCCGCTGGACTCAAAGGCAATTAGATTCAATGCTGCAAGAGTTCAGCGTCTGAACTGGACCTTATAGATGTCATCTTGATTGTGTTCTTTTGTGTCTATACCATTTTCTGGGTAAATGATCATAAACCAAGCATTATGAGACATTGCTGAAAGAGAATATAATTTTTCTTAGTATTAGCCATTGTTTTYTTGGTGCCTCATATTGAACAACGTTTTGCTTGGTCCATAACCCTTATAGAAAGTTGAGTAATGGATAAGATCGTACTTTGTTCTCTAATATCTCGGAATACGACAATCTGCCTGTTAGGTGCGGGAGACAAGATCATCGGGTGCACAAAGACACCAAGATGGTCACGGTTGGCGAGATTTTTTGCACAGGTAACATTGCCAAAGCTCCAAGGAATATATTTGTTAGAAACTTATCCAGCTTGTGGTTTCCCAAATAATACAGATTTTCATAAATGTTTCTTTTTGTTATGTTTTGTGTTTGATCTTACAACAGCAGTAGTGACAGCCCTAATTGAACAATAATTAGTTTAAGCACCCAGATCTTGCAAAATCCTTGTTTTTCTTTGATGAATCCAAGGAATTTGGGCCCGAGGAATTTAAAGAATGCCTAATTCTTGAACCTCTATAACCAAATGAATTTGAGAGGGTTCATGCCTTTGAATGGTCTCAACACCACATCCAGGAAAATCCACAGAGAGAATCTTCTACTACAGTTCTGTACAGCTTTTGAAGTACCACCAGCTGGTGAAAACGAGTCTGCATGCCAAATATCCATTTCTTATTTGCCAGATGAAGATACGTCCAGCTGCCTATGGCCCAGGGTTGTTTAAGGGTACGTGAGACTACCAGTGGTCCACTGAAATCAAACCAAGTTCAACGACAACATACAAGTTTAATTATTCATTCATTTCCAAACTTTTAGAAATGGCTAAGGACGATCACTTCTTGTCATTTCTGAACACTCACGGGGAAAATTTTGAATTCCCAATTTGTAAAGGTTACGTAATTATCTTACATGTCGTGATTAGCCTCCTGACTCAGATATTCTTGTTGATTAGTTCAAATTACCATAGTTATGATTGTTTTTAGGTGTTTATGTTGTTTTTAGTAATCGGATACTTAAGCGTCCCCACGCTCATATAAACTCGATTTAGCGTCATTTTGTTAGTTAGTTTATGTTAAATCGTTGGATTCGTTTGATTTGTTAATTGCTGTGATCTTCGTCTTGGCCTTTGGCTAAACGCGAGATGGATATGTAAGC